TTTAGGTGGCAAGTTTCATATTATCAATATTATGGAGAAAAACAATTTTTTTTTTTGCCTTTTTGATAGCTATGACACACTTCAAGTGTATAAACAGCTAGATTGAAGTATTAAAATAGGGTTTAGTTTTATATAAGGTGAAAACCAAGGCTTTAACCTTTATTCTAAATGTAAAAATATACATTAATATTTTCTATTTCCAGAAACTAGGCTGAGGATAATAGTTTCCCTGGTTAGGCACAGAAGGGAATAGATCATTTTTATGGTTCAGAAGAGTTGATGATAATGTTATCCAAAGTTATCCTCCATTTTTCAGAACAAATTTTTGCTAACTTGTCTATTATATTGTTTCATTTCCTGAAAAGTATGGAAAATTTTACATTGTATTCGTTATGTGGAAATTTAATAGAATTCCTTTCATTCCCTATCTTGAAGTGCCTGATATTTAAAACCACTCCTTTAAAGAACACCCTCTTCCCACTCTTCCTCCAGCCAACAAAACATGTCTTTGGTTTATGCCTTTTCTATGTCGTAAGATCCAATGGCTTTGCTTATTAAGAGTCTTCTAAATCTCAAGTATGATTATTTTATTGTAGCTTTCCTCCCTATGAAGCCAGTCCAGTATGAAACAGTGACTGTCCAGTGTCCTTGAGTACTGGCTGAGATTTCACACTGTATAGAATCCAAAAGTATCTCAAGGACTGTCTCTGGAACATTAACACAGTTTTCATACCTGTTACGGACTGATTGTGTCGTCCCCCCCGCCCCCCCAAATTAATGTGTGGAAATCCAAACCCTTGATGGAATGGTATTAGGAGATGTAGGGCCTTTGGGAACTGGTCATGTCATGGGGGTGGAGCCCTCATGAATGGGATCAGTGTCCCTACAAAACGGACCCCACAGAGCCCCTTCTGCTATGTGAGGACACTGAGAGAAGACAGCTGTTTGTGAACCAGAAAAAGGGCTCTCACCAGACACTGAATCTAACGCCATCTTGATCTTAGATCCTTAGCCTCCAGAACTGTGAGAAATAAATGTTGCTTAATTGTATGTACACTTTAAATGAATTGTATCATACATGAATTATGTCTCAGACTGTTAAAAAACAAAAGTACCGGGGTACCAATAGTACAAGTCCACTAGGCAAATAAGCATAGGATCACTTACCATGCTGGCAGAGTTAATTTTTTTTAGCATAGTTTTTAAATGACAATGATGTTAAGAAGAGACTAAAGTTTCAGGTAAATGAAACCTACCTGATCTCAAAAAAAAAAAAATAAAAAAGGTCAGGTTGGCTGATAACATTATTCTTATATTCCATATACTTACTGATCTATTTCTTCAGTTTTTGCTTCAGGCAATTTATTATTATAGCACATTATCTATTATTATGTGCTACATGTTTAAAATTGTTTTCTTGAGGTATCTGACCCTCTTATCTTTATGAAATAACTTTGTTCATTTCTAGTTATACTACTTGCCTTGAAGTCCACATCAGATATTAATATAGCCATACTAGCATTCTTATAATTAGGGTATACATTTTATATTTTTTCCCACATTACTTTCAACTTGCCTGTATCTTTGTATTTAATGTGCTTTCCTTGTAAACAACATAGTTGGGTTTTGCCTTTTAACTTCTTGACAATTTTTCCTTTAAGTAAAGTGTTTAGTTCATTTACCTTTAGTTCAATTATTGATGCGTTGAGTTTAATGCCATCTTGGAATTTGTTTTCTAATTTCCCCATCTGTTCTTTGTCCTTCTGTTCCTCTTCTTTTGCCTTCTTTTGGGTTGAGTACTTTCTCATATTCCATTTTTGTCTAAGACAAAAATAGCCCAGCTATTAACTATTTGGGTAGGTCAGGATTATCCTTGCTCTTGAAATCTACCATTGTCTTTGAAGATCTCTCTTCATCCTGCTTTTCATTTGGTGAAGGCTCAGTGATTCTCAGAGGGCTCTCTCTCAGCTCTGTTCCACTCCCAGCTGTCAGTGCTGCTTTGCACTCAGCAAAGCCTTAGGTGCTTCAGAAGGATCTCTTAGCCCTTCTGTTCTGTCCTCTGCCTCTGGTGTGTGATGGTTGTGCACTAGGTGCAAGCTCTGTAGGAGAAAACTGGCAGGTGGGTATGGAATTGCTGTTTGATTAGGGCTCCTTAGAAATCCAGTCCTTCACGTCAGCAGCACTTAAAAGTTTGTAAAAGTTCGGCTGGTTTCTTTACACTCCCCATTTTGATAGGGTTAGTCTTCCTGTCAAACATGGAAGCAGGTCATCTTTTTGGTGGGGGAAGGGATCATCTGTATGTGAAATTTAGTTTACTTAGGTCTCTTTGCATCTCAGCTCTGATGGGTTTTTAAAGAAAATCTATTATTTTGTGGATTTTCCAGCTTCTTATTGGTTTCAGGCTCTGGTTACTTTTAGTTTATATATATATATACTTTTTTTTTTTTGGCGATACACGGGCCTCTCACTGTTGTGGCCTCTCGCGTCGCGGAGCACAGGCTCCGGACGCGCAGGCCCAGCGGACATGGCTCACGGGCCGAGCCGCTCCGCGGCATGTGGGATCTTCCCGGACCGGGGCACGAACCCGTGTCCCCTGCATCGGCAGGCAGACTCTCAACCACTGCGCCACCAGGGAAGCCCTTAAAGTTTATATTTTTATAGTTATATGTTAATGGAAACACTTTTCAGGCATCTACAATTAGTGTTTACTTTTTAGTGGCTTATCAAATGACAGTATCCTAATGTGGAATCCCAAGAAATCTGTGAAAGGCCAATGAATAAATGAATGATGACATTTACTTTGGGTACTGAGTTGCAGGTACTGACCACACATTAATATCCATAATCTGCCTTATGACCAGTAATACACATTTACAAGATGGTGGGCTTGAGCTAGGCTACAGTTTATTGATAAAGTGCCGGGAAAAAAGTATAGTGATTGACTATGCAGTCTTACCTCGGGAGCATTTATACAACCATATGAGTTAAAAAGAGATGCAAATGCATTCATAATTAATATGGCTTATCTACATCACTTTAGAGCTATATACAAGGATTTTTATTCATAATCATTAATTTTGCTTATATTTGTTAAAAATAAATCTTATTTTCTAGTTTCCCATAATGTTTTGAAAGAGACTTTATGCCTTTCTCCGTTTAGTTTTCATGTCTTGATTATATTCCTTTTACTTTGTACTGTCTTTTAAGATTCTGTAGAATTTCACCAGGAGTGACTGGTAGAGAGGAGAATCAGACATTAAATGTCCAACAAGGGCTTCCCTGGTGGCGCAGTGGTTGAGAGTCCGCCTGCCGATGCAGGGGACGCGGGTTCGTGCCCCGGTCTGGGAGGATCCCATGTGCCGCGGAGCGGCTGGGCCCGTGGGCCTGCGCGTCCGGAGCCTGTGCTCCGCAACGGGAGGGGTCACAACAGGGAGAGGCCCGTGTACCGCAAAAAAAAAAAAAAAAAAAAAAAAAAAAAAAAGTAAATTCTCAAACATTCATAAAGTAATGAGAATAGAATAATGAACTCCCATGCTTCTAATAACTATTGACATAGGTCAATCTTGTTTTATTTATCCCACCCATTTTATTAAAAAAGTATTGATTGATTCCTGGAATATTTTATTTTTTTCCTGGAGTATTTTAAAGCCAATCCCAGATGTTATATCTCATTTTAGCCATATGTTGTTCTACCTGATAGGAAAAAATTTAAAACATAATTACTATGACATAATTGTGTCTAACAAAGTTAATAGTAATTCCAGAATTTTTCAAACATTGCCTTTTCGTGCCATGTTTCCTAGCTGCCCGGAGACACCTGGGAAAATTAAATTTACTTATGTTTCTAATGGTTCTCCAAATAATATTATTCTGATTTCTAAAATTTTCAGTATTCACTGCTTTTTTCTGTTGCTTTCAAGAATGTCCTAGATATGTTTATAGGCCACAGAATAGCCTATGAAAAAACTTGTTCTGGGACTCAAGCACATTTTATACACACTGTGTACTTGATCCCCTTATGGTGATTTATAATGCAGGTTATGAGAGGCAGAGTTCTGAGAAGTTTGATAATAAAGAGTTAACTTGACCTAACCAAGAATTTCCTCAATTTATTTGGCCCCAGAACCTGTTTTTTAAGTAATCTCTGTTAGCCAAAATACATTTTGGGGAATGCTGTTCTAGGCAGGAGAATGCTGCCTCTGAATAGCAAAACAAATTTTGAACTTAATTTTAACTGAATTAATTAGGTGATTATTTGTCCCTATGGCATTATCATCATGATCATGTAATATCTATTTTTTTGTTTTTCAACAGTATGCTTAATATTGATAATGTAGTGTAACACATAGATCATCCTCTTCAGGACTTTACATTCTGAAAATCTTTCATCACACTATAAGCAATTAAGTATAAACATTTTGTTTTTCCAATAGATATTTGCAAAAAAAAAAACAAACTATACATCACAATCCCTCCATAAAGAAAGATAAATGCATTTGGTATTGTATTGAAGGGGAAGCTAGAAATAAGAGGTGAGGAAACTCAAGGAAATACAAACCAAAAGATAATAGTGAGCAATTATATTTTATTTGTGAAGAATTGGTTAAAATAACTTTTAAAGAGTTTAAAGTTAGGCAGTAGTGTGGAAATTCTCATAAGTAGTTTATATATTTATGTACTCTTAAAATATGTTCATTAAAAAAAAAATCTAAGTAGTTAACAGGGCCAAGTGGAGGCTAATTACACATGAAGGGGGAAAAAAATTCTCCACTCTTAGCCGTTCACTGACACTGGATTGAGAAGGGAGTCAAGAGGCACTCATACTTTAGTGGGCCTGCCTCTCATTCTAACAGAATTTAATTGACATCTGGCCCCTGTCCCCTAGCTCCTTGGCTGGATGCACAAGCGCCTCTTGTCTTTACCCTGCATGTTGCATAAATATGTAGATGCCTCTTTTTTCTATGATGCTACAAATGTAATTTTTTCTCCATTACTTATAGTCAAACTACAACTTCAAGCAGAAGAGAGAGGGGTTGTGTCTATCAAAGGAGTGTGTGCGAACCGTTACCTTGCTATGAAGGAAGATGGACGATTACTGGCTTCTGTAAGTAATGTTTTCTCTTTTCGTACTTTTTTTTAAATTTAGCTTTTATTGCTATGAATTTACTAGTATTGGTATTATTAAAGCTTTATTAAGGGCTTTACAGGTGTATCATTTAATCTTCACATTCATCCTATAAAATAGAGTATTATACTCTATTTCACAGAGGCAAAAACTGAAGTTCTGAGGGAGTAATAAAGTAACCAAGAAAACACAGGTCATATGAGGCAGAGCCTGGATGGCACGCCAGGACGGCATGCCAGGCAGTCTTGACTCTAGAGCAGGAACTCTGATTCACTGCATTTTACTGCCTTTGCTGCAAAGCTATTAAACTATAGTTTTATTTTTAAATTATATTTTTAATAAATTTATTTACTTTTGGACGCGTTGGGTCTCTGCTGCTGCACAGGCTTTCTCTAGTTGCGGCGAGTGGGGGCTACTCTTCATTGCAACGTGCAGGCTTCTCGTTGCGGTGGCTTCCCTGTTGCGGAGCATGGGCTCTAGGTGCACGGGCTTTAGTAGTTATTGCACGCAGGCTCAGCATTTGTGGCTCTAGAGCACAAGCTCAGTAGTTGTGGTGCACAGGTTTAGTTGCTCCACGGCATGTGGGATCTTCCTGGACCAGGGCTCGAACCCGTGTTCCCTGCATTGGCAGGCGGATTCTTAACCACTGTGCCACCAGAGAAGTCCCTAAAACTATAGTTTAAAAAAATCTTTATATTGTGCAGTTGTCTGAAGATCATTGGGATGGACATATAAAATTTTTAGTATCAGTTTTTAAGCTTCTTTCAAATATGCCATAGAAACACTTGCCATTTAGAATACTATAAAATAGAGACAATAATGATCTTATCTCAGAGTTTTTGTGTGGACTAAATAACTTATATCAAGTGCCAAAATCAGGGTCTTATACATAATAGGTCCTCAAAATTGTTACTTCCTCATGTTACTTCTCATTTATATATAAGCTCATTAAGGGCAGGGACTTCTCTTTTTTTTACTTTTTATCACATTACTCCAGGGTCCTTGCTGCTGGCTAGTATTCTTTCCATTAATACAGGCTCCCTGTCAACTTCACCATTATTATTACAACCAGGATTGTATCTGTTGAGCAGACACTGTGTGGGGAGTAATGCAGGGAAGCAGATCAGTATAAAAGACACAGACTGTACTTCTGTCTCATTGGGGGAGTAGATAAGACATGTACCTAAAAGTGCGTGCATATACAAACCATAGCCATAATACCAATACCAGTAGCCAGTTATATAGCACTCTATAGCTTTCCCCACAGAATGGATCTAATAGTACTGAGCAGTTGTGGTGTTTTGAGCTTAGTGTTTGCATTTTTTTCTGAGTGAAGATCTTTGGATTTCTTTTTTTTAATTGATTTTTTATTGGCGTGTAGTTGATTTACAATGTTGTGCTAGTTTCTGCTGTACAGCAAAGTGAATCAGTTATACATATATCCACTCGTTTTTAGATTCTTTTCCCATATAGGTCATTACAGAGTATTGAGTTCCCTGTGCTATACAATAAGCCCTTATTAGTTATCTATTCTATACATAGTAGTGTGTGTATGTCAACCCCAATGTCCCAGTTTATCCCTCCCCTTTTCCCCCCGATAACTATGTTTGTTTTTTACATCTGTGACTATTTCTGTTCTGTAAATAAGTTCATTTGTACCATTTTTTTTAGATTCCACATATAAGTGATATATTTGTCTTTCTTTGTCTTCACTTACTATATAATTTGTGTCCATCCATGTTGTTGCAAATGGCATTATTTCATTCGTTTTTATGGCTGAGTAATAGTCCATTGTGTATATATGTACCACATCTTCTTTACCCATTCCTGTCGATGGGCATTTAGGTTGCCTCCATGTCATGGCTATTGTAGATAGTGCTGCAGTGAACACTGGAGTGCATGTATCTTCTTTTCAAATTACTGTTTTCTCTGGATATATACCCAGGAGTGGGATTGCTGGATCATATGGTAGCTCTGTTTGTAGTTTCTTAAGGAACCTCCATACTGTTCTCCATAGTGGCTGTATCAATTTACATTCCCACCAACAGTGCAAGAGGGTTCCCTTTTCTCCACACCCTCTCCAGCATTTATTGTTTGAAGATGTTTTGATGATGGCCATTCTAACTGGTGTGAGGTGATACCTCATGGTAGTTTTGATTTGCATTTCTCTAATAATTAGTGATGTTGAACATCTTTTCATGTGCCTCTTGGCCACCTGTATGTGATCTTTGGATTTCTGAAGGGACTGAAACAGACTTACAAAGAATATTCAACCATCTGATTGATCATCTGACAAAGATATATTTAATATATTTATGTGATTTTTGCAGGATAAATAAGTCTCAGTGTAGCGGTGCTCTTTTTTTGTAATAGAATAAATTTTAGAATCCTCTTCAATAGCTAGTATTTTTTGAGTGTACAGTATACTAGATACCATGCTAGGCATTAGGGTTATAAAACTGAATACAAAATGGCCTGTGCCTTTAATAAGTGACAGTCGGGAGAGGCAGAAGTATAAATAAGTATTCGTAATAATGTGTAAGGGGTGGCTTCAGTGTGTTCTATATGTTGCATGTATGCATAGTAATACAGGAAAGGGAGCGATTAAACTTGTCTAGATTGGGAAAAATGACCTACCAAGAGGATTTGACATAATATAGAGGAAGGAGTTTATCAGGCAGTTCGGGAGCAGAGGAACGAAGATCAGGGTATAGATAATTCTAGGACACGGCACAGGCATGGATGCAGAAGGCTTACTAGGGGTTTCTCCAGAATTACAATTCACTACTGCTGGAGTGTAAGGTGCAAAGGCAATAGAAGGTAGAAGGGAAGAGATGAGGCTGGAGAAGCAGGTAAACTGCCTGCTGAAGTACCTGATCGTACCATGCTGCTCTCAGCAGTGGGAAGCCAAAAAGCGTTTTAAGAGACACATGAGATTTGAATTCAAGAAAGAGCTCTCGGCAGCAGCACAGAGGACAGATTTGAGGGGTCCAAGGCTGGTGGAGACAGGCCAGTTAGAAGGCCATGGGAATAGTCCAAGCAAGTGATGATCAGAACCTGGCAGTGACAGGATCAAGAGGATGGAGTAAAGTGCGAGCACTGAGGCTGACCCTAGTTACGAGTCGAGTCGAGGAAAGAGTCAAAGATGACATCCAGGTTTCCAGTTTGGATGAGGAGGTAGATGAGAAAGGGGAAGAGGAAAAGAGCAAGTTCTGGGAAAAGGTAAGACAGGTTCACATTTAGTCTTATCTAGTTTGAGGTGCCTAAGAGAAATTCAGGTGAAGACGTTCGCTACATAGTTGGAGTTAGGGGTCTGGAGTTTAGAGAGGTGTTGTGTTGATTATATAGATTTGGGCGTCATAAGCATATATGCGGTGGCTAAAGCAGGGGAATGGATGAGGTTTCCTAGGCCAAAAAAATATAGCTATGAAAGGCTGACTACTTGGAACTTTCACTTCTTCCACTGTTTTTTTTTTTTCTACCAGCCTGTTGTCAACTCAAGGGATGATGTAATACTTTGGGAATCTACTGAAGTAGCATGTTAAATATTTCCAGGACAGTGAAGCAATGGGTAATTTTGGATGACCTTGACCTTGTAGAGAGAAGAGGGGATAACCCTACTCTTCTCACCTCAGGATGTAACAAAACACAGTGTGAATCACTTTGTCTCCTGCAATAGTGTTGATTTGGCTACTGTCAGACAGTAAAGGTGGTGGAGGAAATGAAAGTAAATACATACAACATTTGCTTCTGTCTCAACTGTGGACAACGCTAGTCAAATTGACACTAGTCAAAATGGTTTTAAAGCTCTAGACTTTGCTATGTCTGTCTTGTGACTTCAGATTGTTACCCTGTGGTTTTCCACTTAAAGAGATTAGAAGATCCAGTAATCTGGTAATCATGGTGGCCCTGTAAGATAGTCACTGGAGGGGTTATTTATCTTGAGAACACAGGCTGGAACACAGGTTCATCTGTAGTGATAAAAATAATTGTCAAAAGTGATGGAAACAGAAGCTACTCTACCTTATTTATTAATTTTTTTTTTTTTTTTAAATTGAAGTATAGTTGATTTACTATGTTGTGTTAGTTTCTGGTGTAGAGCAAAGTGATTCAATTTTAAATATATATATATATTTTTTCATATTCTTTTCCATTATAGGTTATACAAGATATTGAATATAGTTCCTTGTGATATATACACTAGGACTTGTTGTTTATCTATTTTAAACATAGTAGTTTGTATCTGCTAATCCCAAACTCCTAATTTATCCCTCCCCGCTCTTTCTCTTTTGGTAACTATAAATTTGTTTTCTATGTCTGTGAGTCTATTTCTGTAAATAAATGTCAATGGACATTTAGGTTGAGAAGTTACTCTACAGTGAGTCTTTGAAACTACTGGAGTGTGTAAAAGAGGAGACAATTTAAGATACTAGACCTAAAACCTGAGCTGTCTTCTCATTCTTAGAGAATTCTCTACAAGTTAGAATTCAGAGAATTCTGACCTCTTCTCTTGGCACATAGACATTAAGCTTCCCAAACTGTTGATTCTGTACCATCAGAAGCATAAAATGCTCTAAACAGTGTTTTACAATTTCTTCCTTAGCTATAAGATTATGGTCACAGCATTCTATTTAGTCTAAAATATATTTCTGTCCCCTTGGATGTGTGTTAATTCTTCCAGATACAACAGATTTCCTTCAAGCTGGTACAGTAAGAGTTAATTTAGCAGTGCTCAGAAATTTATCACAAACTCTGTAGGGACAAAGCCACAGCTGTTACACATAAATGGAATATTCAGGATTTATCAGTTTTCTTTGAGGAAAGGCACCAGCCAAGATCTAGTTGTTCCAGCTCCCATCACTGGATCTATTCCATGCCAAGGTCACAAGTCAATCTCTAGTCTTACCATTCAATTTGTGTGGCTTGCTGCCTTGCCTCTTCAGCAGCAATCCTCTTTCACATTAGTCTGGGTGGGCTGT